GGGGGGGGGCGTCCATCCTCGATAGGGGTACGTCCGAATAGCCCCCCTGTCGGGGTGTATCCCAGGGCCCCCCTCCTCCCCTGAGCGGCTCCATCTTCCGTCGACAGGTCGGGGGCTGGGCCCAGACCCCCGACGTAATGATTTTTTTCATTACGTCGACCCCCAGAGGTCCCGACCCTTTCTCCATGACCGGCTTTGCATCCTGAGTCGTTTTTTGACGCTCCCGAGGCCCGGCGAGGGCCGCCGGAGGCCGAAAACTAGGAAAAACCTCCCGTCATGATTTTTTCATTACTCGAGGGGGGTAGGGGGGGGGGGGGAGAAACCGCCGCGAATCAATGCCCTCCCTCAATCCTCCTCCTCCTCCTCCTCCTCCGTCCTCCGTCCTCCTCCTCCTCCTCCTCCTCCTCCTCCTCCTCCTCCTCCTCCTCCTCCTCCTCCTCCTCCTCCTGGTGGAACGTGCATGACCATAACCCGAGCGCAAGCGCAACCCCTCTCCGGCCGGCCGCCGCCGTGCCCTCCGATCGAGAGGAGACGGGCCCGTGCGGGCGAGGCCCCGCCGGGCGAGCCTCGGCAAGCCGCGGGTGTGTGTGCGCGCCGTGCCGACCGGCCTCGGCGCTCGCGGCCGACGCACCGCGGGGGCCCTCCGGCGCCGCCCAGAGGCCCGACGCTCCGAGAGGAGTCGGAGCGGGCGGTCATGGGGCCGTCTTCGGCCTCCGGGGGCCCTCGCCGGGCCCGGGGGCCGTCTCCCCAGACATCCAACCCAGACCCCCTCGAGTAGTGAAAAAATCATGGCGGGAGGTTTTTCCTACTTTTCGGCCTCCGGCGGCCATTCGCCGGGCCTCGGGAGCGTCAAAAAACGACTCAGGATGCAGAGCCGGTCATGGGGAACGGGTCGGGACCTCTGGGGGTCGACGTAATGAAAAAATCATTACGTCGGGGGTCTGGGAACGTCTCGATTTTTTCGAGACGCGGGCCCCCGACCTCCCGACCACTTCCCTGGGGCCGGTTTTTCATCCCGAGTCGTTTTTTGACGGTCCCGAGGCCCGGCGAGGGCCCCGAGAGGCCAAAAACTATGAAAAAAACCCGTCTCGATTTTTTCGAGACGCCCGATGTCTGGGTCTCAGGACGGCCATAGGGACGAAGAGAAACCGGCCCCAGAAGAGTGGTCCACGCCCCGCGGGGGCCCACGCCTCGAAGAGATGGGAGCGGTCGGGTGCCTGGGCGGTGGGCGGCGCGCAGAGGGGGGCGGGGGGGGGGGGAAGGCCTCTTGGAAGGAGGCTGCTCCTCAGAAGGCGACGGCCTCACATCTGTAGACAGGGCCCGCGCCCTCTGTATGTATGAAGCCTTCCCCTCTCCCCGTGCCCCCCTCTGCGCGCGGCGGACTTGGAGGATCGGCCCTTTCCGAGGCGTCCGATCGCCGAGCGGCGTGCCGACTTCTGGGTCGCTGCCGGCCTTCCACGTTGCGCGCCGGCGGCGGGGCCGCCGCCCTCGCCGGCCCTAGCCCTGCAGGCCCTTCCAGTACTGGTAGTTCGCCTCGGCACCTCCGGGACAACGAGATCTACACACAGGCGACGGGCACTCTCTCTCTCTCTCTCTCTCTATATCTATATATATATATATGCGTGTGAGTACAGATGTATGCCCCTGCTCACGCCAGAACGTCCGCGAGAAGGCCAAGCGAGGGCAGGGAGGCAGCGTGTTTTTTTTACCCATGCCCTCCATCCTCGAGGGCGCGCCGCTGGATCACCAAAAGGGGGGGGGGGGTCGGACCACCCCCCCCCCCCTTGCCCGAGCCGTCGTCGGCGGAACCCCCCCCCCCTCCCCTTGCCCGAGCCGTGGTCGGCGAACCCCCCCACCCCCCCTTTCCCGAACCGTCGTCGGCGAACCCCCCCCCCCCCCTTTCCCCGGCTCGCGCCCCGGCTCCGGAACCCCATCCCTACCACCCCCGCCCCGACCCCCCCGAAGCCCTAACCTCTAACCCAAACCCTGAACCCTAATCCATAATCCCTAACCCGAAGCCTAAACCCTAACCGTAGACCTAACCCTGACCCCAAAACCTAACACTAAGCCTAGCCCTGACCTAAGCTCTAAACCTGAACCCTTAACCCTAGCCCTCAACCCTAATCCCTAACCTCAACCCTACCCCTCACCCTAAACCCTAAACCCTAACCCTAAACCCTAACCTCAACCCCAACCCTGACCCTAAACCCTAAACCCTAGCCCTAAACCCTAAACCCTAACCCTAAACCCTAACCCTAACCTAAACCCTAACCCCCAAAACCCTACACCCTAAACACTGACCCTAAACCCGAACCCTAACGCTAACCCTAACCCCTACACCCTAATCCTTAACCCTAACCCTAACCCTAAACTCTAGCCCTAACCCTAACCCTAATCCTACACCTTAACCCTAAACCCTATGACCTAACCCTAAACCTTAACCCTAACCCTAAACCCTGAACCCTAAACCTTAACCCTAAACCCGAACCCGAACCCTAACCCTAAACCCTCACCCTAACCCTAACCCTAAACCTTAACCCTCAACACAAACCATAGCCCTAACCCTAAACCCTAACCCTAACCCTAAACCCTAAACCCTAACCCTAACCGTAACCCTAAACCCTAGCCCTAGCCCTAACCCTAATCCTAAACGCTAACCCTAACCCTAAACCCTAAGAACTAACCCTAACCCTAACCCTAACCCTAATCCCTAAACCCTAACCCTAAACCCTAAACCCTAAACCCTAACCCTAACCCTAAACCCTAACCCTAAACCCTAAACCCTAAACCCTAACCCTAACCCTGACCCTAACCCTAAACCCTACACCCTAAACCCTGACCCTAAACCCGACCCTAACGCTAACCTAACCCCTACACCTAATCCGTAACCCTAACCCAAACCGTAACCCTAACCCAACCCTACACCCTAGCCCTAACCAATAACCCTGATATCCACACCTTAACCCTAAACCCTATGACCTAACCCTAACCTTAACCCCTAACCCTAAAACCCTGAAACACTAAACCTTAAACCGTAAACCGAACCGAACCCTAACCCTAACCCTCACCCTAAACCCTAAAACCTAAACCTTAACCCTCAACCCTAAACCATACCCCAACCCTAAACCATAACCCAACCTAACCCTAAACCATAACCCTAAACACTAACCCTAACCCTACCCTAAACCCTAACCCTAACCCTAACCGTTAACCCTAAAACCCTAGCCCTAGCCCCTAACCCTACCCCCCTAACCCTAACCCTAAACGCTAACCCTAACCCTAAACCCTAAGAACTAACCCTAACCCTAACCCTAACCATAATCCCTAAACCCTAACCCTAAACCCTGAACCCTAAACCCTAACCCTAACCCTAAACCCTAACCCTAACCCTAATCCTACACCTTAACCCTGACCCTAACCCTAAACCCTAACCCAACCCTAAACCCTAACCCTAACCCTAACCCTAAACCTTAACCCTAACCCTAACCCTAAACCCTAACCCTAACCCTAATCTTAACCCTACCCCTAAACCATAAAGCCCAATCCTCACCCTAAACCCGAACCCTTAACCCTAACCCGAACCCTAAACCCTGACCCCTCAACCCTAACCCTAAACCCGAGTGCCTAACCCGAACCCTGAGCCCTAACCCCTAACCCTAACCACCCTAAACTCTAGCCCTAACCCTAACCCTAAACCTTAACCCTAACCCTAAACCCTATGACCTAACCCTAAACCTTAACCCTAACCCTATACCCTGAACCCTAAACCTTAACCCTAAACCCGAACCCGAACCCTAACCCTAAACCCTCACCCTAACCCTAACCCTTAACCTGAACCCTCAACACAAACCATACCCCTAACCCTAAACCCTAACCCTAACCCTAAACCCTAAACCCTAACCCTAAACCCTAACCCTAACCCTAATCCCAAACCCTTAACCCTAACCGTAACCCTAAACCCTAGCCCTAGCCCTAACCCTAACCCTGAACGCTAACCCTAACCCTAAACCCTAAGAAATAACCCTAACCCTAACCCTAACCCTAATCCCTAAACCCTAACCCTAATCCCTAAACCCTAAACCCTAACCCTAACCCTGAACCCTAACCCTAACCCTAACCCTAATCCTACACCTTAACCCTGACCCTAACCCTAAACCCTAACCCAACCCTAAAACATAAACCCTAACCCTAAACCCTAACCCTAACCCCAACCCTAAACCTGAACCCTAACCCTAACCCTAAACCCTAACCCTAACCCTAATCTCAACCCTACCCCATAAACCATAAAGCCCAATCCTCACCCTAAACCCGAACCCTTAACCCTAACCCGAACCCTAAACCCCGACCCCTCAACCCTAACCCTAAACCCTAATGCCTAACCCTAACCCTAAGCCCTAACCCCTAACCCTAACCCTAAACCCTAAACCTCGCTCGCCTCGCTCGCCCCGGACCCCTGCGGAAAGGGGGGGAGGGGGGTGGGGGGGTTCCGAACCCCCCCCCCCCTTCAAGGGTGGGGGGAGGGTCGAACCCCCCCCCCCCTTTCAAGGGGGGGGGGGGATGGGGGTTCGGACCCCCCCACTTAAAGGAGGGAGGGGGGGGGGGGGGTCTCGGACCCCCCCCCCCTTAAGGTGGGAGGGGGGGGGGGGGTTGCCCTGGAGAACCCCCCCTTTTAAACCCAAGTGATCACTGACGCTCTTGTCTCCATCCTCCCCCCCCCCCCGGATGCCGCGGCTGGGGGCTGCAGCAGGGCCGCGGGCCGAGCGTCGCTCCCCGCGACGCACGCCCGCCGCCGGCCAGCGCCCTGGGGCTCTCGTCTCGGGCCGGGCGAGACGGGGGGCATAGCAAAGGGGGGGTTTGAGAGAATCGGCTCGCGTGGCTGCCTTTCCTGGCGCCTCCCGGCGCCGGGAGGCGCCCCTGCAGCGAGGAGCGAGCCCCTCGGGGGGGGGGGCCGAAACCCGCGGCACGCAGCAGCCTTCGCAAACCCCCCTTTCCCAATCCCCCCCTCTCCTTCGGCCCGATCGTCAGCGGGGAGGGCCCGGCGAGACCGCACGGCGGCCCGCCCGGGCGGAGAGCACGGGCCTCTCTCCTGGGCTTCCGAAGGGGGGAGGGTGGGGCGGGTCGTCGCCTGGGCTGCCTCCGCGTCGAGAGGCGGGTCCCTGCCTTCGCTCGGACGCCCGTGCCCCGCGCATCGTTCGCGTTCGTGCGCTGTGTGTCCCTCGATGGTCGAGGATGCTCCTCGAGGGCCCTCGCCGAGAACAACTGCACACGGCCGAGCGATGCCAAGGGTTAAGTCGGGCCTGTCCCCCCTACGGGGGCATTTTGGACGAAAAATGGAAAAACACACCAAAAATACCCCCAAAATGGCCAAACACTACTCCAAAAATCGTGCCCTGACTTTTTTCTACTATTTTTGAATATGCCTCCTGTAGAGGGACGGGCCCGACGTAAGCCAAGGGGTCTGGATGCACCCCGTGGAGGGGTCCAGGCCCAGAGGGAGGGCCCGGCGAGACCACAGCGGCCCGCTCCCCCGCCCCGCCTGGAGGAGGAGGAGGAGGAGGAGGAGGAGGAGGAGGAGGAGGAGGAGGAGGAGGAGAGGAGGAGGAGAAAGAGGAGGAGGAGGAGGAGGAGGCGGAGGAGGAGAGGAGGAGGAGGAGGAGGACGGAGGAGGGAGGAGGACGGAGGAGGAGGAGGAGGAGGAGGAGGAGGAGGAGGAGGAGGGCGGAGGAGGAGGAGGAGGACGGAGGAGGAGGAGGAGGAGGAGCAGGAGCAGGAGCAGGAAGACGGAGGAGGAGGACGGAGGAGGAGGAAGGAGGAGGACGGAGGAGGACGGAGGAGGAGGAAGAGGAGGAGGAGGAGGCGAAGGGGGAGGCGGGAGAGGGGGGGGGCTTGTCGTCGTCGCGGCTGCCTCCACGCCGAGACGTGGATCAGCACGCACCCCGTGCAGGGGCCCAGGCCCCGACGGCGGGCGGCACTGGGCCGGGCGGCGGGCGGGAGTGCCGCCGCTGTCTCGAGGGGCCCTCCGCCGAATCCCGGGGCCCGGGAGCGGTGTGTGCGCGCGCTGCCCCGGCGTTGGCCCCTCGCCCTCTGAGAGGAGGAGGAGGAGGAGGAGGAGGAGGAGGAGGAGGAGGAGGGAGGGGAGGAGGAGGAGGAGGAGGAGGAGTTCAGGAGGAGGAGGAGGAGGAGGAGGAGGGAGGAGGAGGAGGGAGGAGGTGGAGGAGGAGAGGAGGAGGAGGAGGAGGAGGGAGGAGGAGGGAGGGAGTCAGGTAGGGAGGGGGAAGAGGAGGAGGGGAGGAGGAGGAGGAGGAGGAGGAGGCACCGCACCTTCCGCGCGGCAGGTGCCACGCCGCGGCGGCCGCCGCCGCGGCCGCCACTGCGGCTTCCGCCGAGGCCGCAGCAGCGGTTTCGGCGGCGGCGGCGTCCGCCGCGGCGCGGCACCTGCCGCGCGGAAGGTGCGGAAGGTGGGGGGCGAGGGGCCAGAGCAGAGCAGACCAGAGAAGGAGAACAGAGGCCTGGCGTGGACCGGCCGGCCAGCGCGGCGGACCGTGAAAAAAGAAAAACGGCATCTTAGCACCGAAACTCTCATTTCTAAGAAATGAAAGCTGATGTGCTTATATGCTTTCTTGGATCGCGGGCCCCCCCCCTTCCATGGCGCGCGGAGCGCGCCAGAAGGGGGCCCGGCGCAGATCCAAGAGATCTGCGCAGAGCGCCAAAAATTGCTTCCCCAATCAGTGCTTGCACTGAAGGGGTCCTAGCGGAAATTGAAAGATTTGGCGAAAATGTCCCGCCGATGTTGGTCGCCGGCTGGGTTCCCGGGTTCCCGGTCCCGGATTCCCGGGTTCCTGGTTATTGGTTCCGGGCCGAGTTCGGTGGGTTCCGGGTTCCCGGGTTCCCGGGTTCCCGGGTTCCCGGGTTCCCGGTCGGTCTCCTCGTCGATCTCTTCATCGATCCCATTTCAGACAGTCCACTGATTGGGGCTTTCTCTCGCAGGCCTAGAGATTGACACCAACACCAATTTCGGCGGTGTGCCTCCACCGAGGGAACAAGGTCCCGATGTCGTTGATGATGGTGATATTCTGGCTTCCAAGGTGGCCGAACTATTACCACCAACACCGAAAATCTAGGATCATCTTCCCCCTGTGGAGGCAACTCTCTGTCTTGGTGTTGGTGCCAATTTCCAGGCCTCCGATTCTCTGGTGTAATGTCCACGTTCATGCGTGGCGATCTCGTTGCCCTGCACCTCGCAGCATCGGCTGGAGCGCCGGGCAGGCCCTCGCGAGGCTTCGGAACGTGGGCAGGGCCACGGCCTCGAAGAAGCCGACCTGGGAGGCGGCTGCGCCCGGCTGCTCCCGGTCCATCAGGAAGGACACCTCCAGGCCCAGGGCCTTCTCCTTTAACGGGCGAAGAACGGTATAAAATAAACTTTTTCGCTGTCGGGGGCGCCTGTCCCAGGGCGGCTGGAAAGTTTACACCCCTACGGTGGCACCGCAGGGGTATAAACTCTCCAGCCGCCCAGGGACAGGCGCCCCCGACAGCGAAAAAGTGTATTTCATACCGCTCTTCGCTCGCTGACTCCTGGTCGCCCTGCGCGAAGAGCTCGGCCTCCAGGCCCTGCACAAAGTGCAGGTGCAGGGCGCGGTTCAGGGTGAGGTGGCCGAGGTCGGCACACTTCAGCGCCATCTGCAGCAGCAGGACCGCGTCCGCCGGCGAGCGGGGCGCGAAGCCGCGGCCCTCGGACGCGTCCAGCGCCGCGCGGAACGACTCCAGGATGCTGCTGTGGGACGCCATGTCGGTGGCAAGGATCAGCTCCACGAAGAGGCCCTGGAGTCGGCGAAACTCCTCCCGCGACAGCCCAGCGAGGAAGTCCAGGCCGGGGCGCTGGAGCAGCGCCAGCGACGCGGCGGCGTGGTGGTGCTCGTTCACGCGCCCGTCGTTGTGGCGCAGCGCCCGGTCGTGGCCAGTCTTGACCAGGAAGTCGTTCGTGCGCCCAGCGTGCTCGAAGTCGTGTGCGGCGGCTGCGAGCAGGCAGGCCATCGTCACCAGCGCCCCGTCGCCCTCGTCGAGGTGGGCTGCTGCCTTCTGCGCCAGCCCCCCACTGCGCAGCGCCGCGTGGGTCAGGTGCAGCACAGAGGCCACGTGGAGGCGGTTGTGGTACTGCACGGCGTCGTCGTAGCCGCGCTCGAGTTCCACGAAGAAACCTCTGAGCTTCTCACGGTCCAGGCAGAATCGCGCAGCCAGCCCGAGCCGCTCAAACAAGAAGCAGCCCATCGAGCTCAGCGGCCGGTTGTCGGTCAGCGCCGCCAGCCTCACCACGTCCAGGTCCCAGCCGTCCAGCGCCTCCTCGAGCAGCGCCAGGGCCTCCTGCGGCAGGGACGCCTCGCTGGGCTGCCTGTGTGGGTGCTGCGCCTGCACTGGCGGTGTCTCCGGCGCTGGTGCCAGCGCTGTCGGCGGGGTCTCCTCCAGGCTTCGGCGCACAGGGGTCCTCGGAGCCCACGTGGTGGCCCTGCGCAGCAGCGCCAGCGCGCTCGCCCCCAGCTTCGGCGACGTGGGCGGCACCGCCGGCGAGGCCTCGGGCTGCTCCCTGGGCTGCAGCGGCTGGCCCAGCTCGTGCGAGGCGCCGCCGGCCGCCGCCGCGGCCGCCTGCCAGTGCGGGTCCTCGACCATGAACGGGTGGGTCCAGCCGGCGGGGTCGTGCGGCAGAGCCCCCGGCAGCGCCTGGCGGGCGGCGCCGTCGAGGGCCGCCGCGCCGCCGCACGGCGCCGCGGCACCCCGCCGCACCTTCCTCGGCGAGCACGGCCCGCTCAGCCGCTCGAGGCTCACCTTCCGGTCGACGGCCATGCCGAAGTGGGCCTCGGCGTCGTACGCGCCGCTCACGGGGACCCGCTTCCTGGTCGTGGCCGCGTGCCGGGGGCTCGCCCGGCTCCACTCGCGCGGCAGCATGGCGGTGAACTCCCGCCGGCGGTCGATGCACCGGAGGCGGCGAGGAGGGGCGAGCAGCCAAGGGGGGAGGCGCAGTGCACGTGCATCTGGGGGCTCCTCCTCCTCCTCCTCCTCCGCCCCTCCTTTCCTCCCTCCCTCCTCCTCCTACCTCCTCCTCCTCCTCCTCCTCCTCCTCCTCCTCCTCCTCCGTCCAGGGGCGCCGACGGCCCGTGCCTTCGGCGAGGCGCCCGCGTCACGTACGCCCCTGGCTTGCCCTCGCTCGGACGCCCAGCCTCCCCCTGCACTGTCCGGCCTCGTGCGTGACCTTCTCTCTTGCTCGATGGTCCAGGATGGCCCTCGATGGCCCTCGCCGAGGAAAAGATGCACACGTCCGAGCGATGCCGAGCTGGGCCACTCGCCCCTGTCGCCGCTCCGAGATCGCGGGGAGCATCTCGCGGAGCTCGCGGCAGCTCCAGCGCGCCGGGCCCCGCGCGCGGCGTGCGCGCCACCGAAGCGCCTGGAGCCAGGACGTCTGCCGCAGTGTCGACGGCTTCCTGGTGACTTCGGCGGCCGCCCGTCGCGCAGGGAGGGGGAGGCCGAGGGGTTGCACTCGCGCTCGGGCGCCGCAAGGAAACCTCCCTCCTCCAGCATCAAACCTCATCATCATAATACAGACTCCTCCGAAACTCACAACAAAGCCCGTTGAAATATAACCACCCAATCACAAAAATCCCCAACCATACACCAACCCCTTCTGACCACTAGCCACATCACCCTCCCCACCGACACCAACCCCCTCAACCCCCAAAACACACCGCCCCACTCAACAACATCCATTTAACCACCCAAAAAAGCCTCTCTCAACCCCCAACACATACACCCTCCAACCCCCCACCAACTCTCACACACCCTCCCCCCTCCTAAGCCTCCCCCGAACCCCCCTCCTCCTCCAAGGGACGCCGTGCCTGCCTCCTCCTCCGTCCTCCTCCTCCTCCTCCTCTTCCATCTCTTCCAGCCTCTCCTCCTCCTCCTCTTCCTCTTCCTCCTCCTCTTCCTCTTCCTCCTCCTCTTCCTCCTTTTTCACATCAGGCAAACTTCGATCAATTGGGATCGCAGCGTTCGTAGATCAAAATCCTCATCTTCTTCCTCCTCCTCCTCCTCCTCCTCCTCCTCCTCTTCCTCCTCCTCCTCCTCGTGATCCCCCCCTGCATCTGCCTCTTTCTCCTCCCTTTCCTCCTCCTCCTCCTTCCTCCTCTTCTCCTCCTCTCTCCTCCTCCTCCTCCTCTCCTCCTCCTCTTCCTCCTCCTCCTCGTCCTCCTGCTCCTCCTCCTCCTCCTCCATCCCTTTTCCTTATAAATAACTCATCCGGGGTGCACCCCGAGACGTGTCAATAGGGCGGGCCATGCTTTTCGCCTGAGACTTCCTCGCGATGTATGACTTTGAATCTGAAAATGTGCAACAGCTTGACGGATGGAGGGCGGGTCGTTTTCAAAATGTGGCTCTCGCCTTCGCGCTACCCATATTCGTATTCAAAGTGTGCAAGAGCTTCACGGATGGAGGGCGGTTCGTTTTCAAAACAGGGCTCTCGCCTTGGCGCCGCGCACATTCGCCGTAAAATGTTGCGAGGGCTTCACGAATGGAGGGCGGCTCCTCTTCAAAATGCGACACTCGCCTTTGCGCCTCGCACATCCTTCTTGACAACTTCCCAAGGGCTTCACTGATGGAGGGCGGGTGGTTTTCAAAATGTGGCTCTCGCCTTCCATGCACAGTCGCCTCAAAAGTTTGCACGAGCTTTACGGATGGAGGGCGGGTGGTTTTCAAAATGTGGCTATGGCCTGTGCGCCGCGCACATTCGCCTTAATGGATAGCAGGAGCTTCACGGATGGGGGCGGCTCCCTTTCCCAGCGTGGTTCCCGCTTTAGCGCGCCGCGCATTCGTAGTTTCACGGATACAATGGGCGTGTGGCTTTCACAATGTTGCTCTCGCCTAAACGCCGCGCAGCACTCGTCTTAAAAAATTGCACAAATTTCACGAATGGGAGACGGCTATTTTTCACAAAGTGGCTCTCGCCTGAGCGCCGTGCACATCTGTTGAATAAATTCAAACTTTCTATTCGGCCGTCCAGAAAAGGTGCTCCGGCACGATTTACAGTCACGCTGATTCGACGTATTGAAATCCCAGGAGTGGTGTTCTGGCACCGTTGAGGATCATCAGGATGCAATAGTACTGTTGATTCGCGGCGTTGAACTCCAAAGGTTGGTGTTGCCACGATTGAGGATTCTCAAACGGTTGCCTTCCAACGGAACCTTGCCAGAAGTGGCAATAAATCATTGTAGGGACCAACGAAGAAAGAACGTGGAGGGAAGGTTGATGGCAACATCGTTGATGCGTCTTGGGTTTACACCGGTCCTCCTCCTCGTCCTCCTCCTCCTCGTCCTCCTCCTGCTGCTCCTCCTCCTCCTCCTGCTACCCCTCCTCCTCCTCCTCATCATCCGCCTCCTCATCCTCCTCCTCCCCCTCCCCCTCCACCTCCTCCACCTCCTCTTCTTCCGCCATGCCTTTTCTTTATAGATAACTTCTTATTGTCGCACCCCGAGGCGCGCAAATCCGCTCATAAAATTTGCATGCAAGAGCTTCTCGGAGTAAGGGCGACCCGTCTTCAAAATATGGCTCTCGCCTTAGTGCCACGCACACCTGTTTTCAAAATGTGGCTCTCGTCTTAGCGCCGCGCACATTCGTTTTAAACATTTGCAAGAATTTCACGGATTGAGGGCGACCCGTTTTCAAATGTGGCTCTCGTCTCAGCGCCGCGCACATTCGTTTATAACATTTGCAAGTGTTTCACGGATTGAGGTCGGCTCCTTTTCAAAATGTGGCTCTCGCCTTAGCGCAGCGCGCATTCGTTTATAAATTTTACAAGACTTATACATATTCCCATGGTCAACGTTCCAGAAAGCGTGTTTCCGAAAGATTCTGGATTATGCGGGTGCAACGATTACGTTGGTTCGCGGCGTTGAAGTCCCAAGAATGGCGTTCTGGCACGATTGAGGATCGTCAAGACGCAACAGTCAGGTTTATCCATGGCGTTGGAATCCCGAGAACAATATTTTGGCATGCTTCAGGGTCTTCAAACGGTTGTTCTCCAACGAGGCAGTTCCCTCAGTGGAAATGAACCGTTGTGGAGGCCTATGAAGAGGATGCTTGGAGGGAGGGTTTACTCCAACATCGTTGATGACTCTTGGGTTTACACTGGTCCTCCTCCTCCTCCTCCTCCTCCCCGGGGATGACAGGGGGGACTGCCTTAGGGGAGGAATACCGACCTTGAATCGGCGATACATCGCCCACAGTTCGGCGAAAGGTCCCCGATGGCAAATCCGCACGCTCCTGGACGGGGCGGGCCATCAGGTCCCCTATCGACAAGCAAATGGGCGATCGAGGGTCGATGCATCCCACCTTGACCCGTCCTCCTCCTCCTCCTCCTCCTCCTCCTCCTCCTCCTCCTCCTCCTCCTCCTCCTCATCATCATCCTTCCACTTCATCATCATTCATCATCATCATCATCACATCATCATCATCATCATCGTCATCATCATCATCATCACATCATCGTCGTCGTCGTAATCGTCGTCGTCGTCGTCAATGTCGTCATCATCATATCATCAATCATTCATCATCATCATCCCTTCCAATCCTCCTCCTCCTCCTCCTCATCATCATCCTCCTCCTCCTCCTTCTCCTCCTCCCCCCCTCCTCCGTAAACAGGGCCCAAACCCCCGAAGTCGCGAGTTCTGTCTCGGCGCGGACCCCTGGAGGTCTCGACTCATTCCCTGGGACTGGCTTCTTTGATCCTACTTTGTTCGTTGACGGTCTCGAAGCCTGGCGAGGTAGCAAGAACTTTCCGTCGTATGCATCACACAAACTCCCCCCGACTCGATCACTTCCACGATCGCTACAAGCTCTAACAACTTCTCGGGGTCGTTTCCCCGTCCTTCTCCACTCCGTTTTCTCCTTCCTGCTTCCTATTCCTTCTTTTTCGTCTTATTATTCTTATTATTATTAGTATTATTATTAGTAGTAGTAGTATTATTTTTTATTCTTATTATTATTAGTAGTATTAGTATTATCCTTATTATTATTATGATTAGTATTATTATTATTATTTGTATTATTATTATTAGTATTATTATTATTATTATTAGTAGTAGTAGTAGTAGTAGTAGTAGTAGTAGTAGAAGAAGTAGTAGAAGTAGTAGTAGTAGTAGTAGTAGTAGTAGTAGTAGTAGTAGTAGTAGTAATAATATTATTCTGTATATTATTATTCGTATGCACTTTTCCTGGGGGGGGGCAGGGGGCATCCTAGGGGGTCGGCGGAATGGCGAAAGCCACTATAGCCAAAGACTGTGCGCTGTGATGTTTGCTCCGCGGCGCGGGGGGACGGGGGGAGGGGGACAAAGGAGGCGGAAAGCAGCTGAATGACAGGGGAGGCAGAATGAGGGGTTGAGCAGGTGGGCAGAAATGAAGGGGCCCTGGGACACACAAATAAATGGACACAAATAATAGGATTCCCCGTATCTTCCCATCTGTTATTGGTTTCTGTCTTCATCCCGACTTCACATCTTGTCCCATACTTTCTGGGGAATCGACGATTAATTGTGTCTGTGTGTTTTTCCCCTCCGGAAGAAACCACAGGCAGGGGGGAGAGTAGGACCAGGGCGCGGGGTTCGCCGTGCGGACCTCGGAAAGCTGCCGCCGCGCCGAACACGAAAGCAGAAAGGGTCACAATCCCAGGGCCTCCTGGAGCCTCTTCTGGTATCCAAGTCGGGCCTCCTGAGGTTTCCTGGGCGGTCCTGGTGTACACATCGCAAGGTGTGGCAAACCCACTTGCGCTCGAGTGCGACCTCGATCTTAGATTCTTCTGCGTTCACCTCCTGCCTCTTCCCCTTCTCTTAGGCACGCCCTGGCGGCGCCGCCCCAGCTTCCCCTTCTCCATTTCCGATCCTGCAGTCATGGCGTCTTCCTGTTTCAAACGCCCTGACAATGTTTTGTATGAGCCTGGGTACACACGTGCCATTTGTGTATGTATGTATATATATATGTATATAAATATACATATACATATATATATATATATATATATATGGTTGCCCCCGCCTTTTGATATACCTTCCTGTTTCCTTCAGGCGATCAGCATTAGTGCAGCGTTCCAGTATCGAGCAACATGCTACCGTGGACAAATGCAAGCATGATCAAGAATATTGTCAAGGCACCAGCAGTCGGATTGCACGTGACAAGGTGCCACAAGGCGTCAGTCCTGCAATTCAGCGAATTACCGCCACCCTCTTGAGCGCTAAAATTCAATCGCATTCATACGGAACGTTCCAAAACAAAATAAGACGGGCCCCCAGGCTCAATAAAGCGCCTTCTGCATGTCGCTAGCACGCGACCATAACTCCTGCCGTTTACTCCAGGACGTCCACTGCGCCGACCGAGCGCGGCGCCCAGGCGGCGAGCGCGCCGACCCTGCGCGTGCGAGA